TGGATTGCAGAGAGACACAGGATTGGCTGCGGCCAGGTGGTCCAATATGTCTGCGCCCTAATCCGACGCCACACCACAACACCACAAAACCACGAAATCCAAATCATCGCGAAATGCCGCAACGGGAAGTGGCGTATAGTACCAATAAATACATTGTCAATGCTGCGAATGCGTTGTCATCCAAAGAAATTTTAAAAAAAAGCTTTAATAGCTCTAATATGATTGTTTTTGAAAGCTGTTGCCTCTCATTTCTTGTAAAATGCTTTGGCCCAGCTGAGTTGCCACCTGACCAACGAGAGAAAATTTTTTTTATTACTGAACACAATATGAAGGTACTCTAACCAATTTGATTTTATCTCATTTCTTTTTAAAAAAAACCTAAATTTCTGAATGGTTGCCAATTTTTTTTAATTTAGTAGTGTTTGTATTTATAATGTCTGGTCATATGCAAGAGAAAAACCAGTTTACAGTTTTCTATAATATCTCTTGTTCTCATGCCCTCACAACAGAGTGGGTGCGATATTAAGACACTATTTTAAGTCGGGTGCGCCAGTCGGTACCGGTGGCATCGTCAAGCCTACGTTTTGAACGAGGTCACCAAGGCCAAAATGTCCGCCACGACTTTGGGGACATGGATTTGTGACAGGACTACGTTAACGTATTACCACAGCGGCTCTACGAGCTATCTTTTCCACAACATGCACAGCCTTTCCCGGTTTGGCAAACCCATATTTCTTTTCCAGAATTTCTACCTTAAGTCAACTTGGGGGTGGGATGATGAAACCAAGCGGAATGAGTTATTTGCTCCCGAGTCGCGGCTTCTCGTGTGCTACCTGAGGAACGTCAAAGCGCGTTGTGATCTCAGACGTCACAAATCCCCACCTTCATTACCGGTCACCTCCGACGACCCTTGTGCATTCGTTCATTTTCGTTTTGAGATTGATGCCGGACGACCAATATTGTATTGCTACGAAATCCAACTGCATGAAAAGGTACGCGGGTTCAAACTGGGACGAAAACTAATGGATATTCTACTTAAAATCTCCATCGACAATCGGATGTCCCGGATTCTCTTAACGGTATTCAAATTTAACACCGTCGCCTGTACATTCTTTCGAAAACTTGGATTCAAAATCGATCATACCGATCCCTCTAAGTTTGGTCTATGTGTTGACTATTCCATTTTATCCAGACGCCCTTAAATTGTTTCATACTTGTGTGATAAATACATTTTAAACCACATTACTAGTATTTCTGATAAGGTGGATATTACAAAAAAAAACAAAAAAAGTTCACAATGGAAAAAGGCGAGATGTCAGTTAATAAAGCGGTAGATGCCGACGTCACCATTACTGAATCCAACGGTGTAGTGGTTGCACTCCACAGCACAAATCTTGGCGATTCTCCTACCGGTCGGAAGGTACCCCACTAGTTCCGGCTACAAAAGAAGGAATCGAATTCCGGTCTGTGCACATCATCTAACATCAAAATTAGTGTACGCGAATGCGTTACATTCGGGTCGCAATAAGTGCCGTAGAAGAATGACGGAGGAAGATAAAGAATATGACTGCCTAGTACACGACATGGGTTTTCGAAAAAGTTCCGTTATAATTCGGGACATCGATGTGCACGAAGTTTTGTTTCATTCGCTTCTCCGAAAAATGGGACAGGTAGTGTCACGTGCTTTAAGTGTATATTTAAAAAAATCCAAGACTCGGTACGAGTTCAAGTGGTGTTATTCTAAGTTATAACCTGGTAGTGGAGTCAATAAGTGCTGCACGACTAACCTTCCCGTTTGGATTCAAAATCGTCCACTTCAAGTACCGGATGAGCCCGTCAGACCCTGCAACAATGACTAGAAACTCTGCGTCATCAGCTGATCGTTTGCCTGCTTCCGTTGCACAGAATGCTGTCACGATTTCTCCGTTGGGGAGCTAAGAAATAATCACAAAAACCACCATATTATAAGGGCTAGAACTCAGCTCTATTTTTGTGAAGAAATTTTACAGTCAAAAAGCGTAGGTATTTTGTGCGTACTACAGAAGCAAACCATACCGTGTATTCGGAAAGAGTGGTTGTTGGATCACTGCGCAAGCTAATAAATGATGACACGACTTCACGTCCGTCTTCCGTGTTTTCCCGTTTGCCCGAGATGAAGAGAAGACTAATTGGGAAAACGTTACACCAAATGAAGAGACCATTCAAAATAGTGTATTTAAAACATACAAATTAGACAACGTGAGTCACTCAGCAACGGTTGAAATATCACTGCCAAATTTTACGCCCACACGCACGTACGAATGCAAGTATGTACATGATTGCTACGTGCCGCACCAACGTCAAAGCTTGCAGCATGCCGCAATGTCTCTACAGCATTTAAATATGAGATAAACTTAGAATTAGCGACACACTCGAAGACAACCGGAATTTAAGATCCTGTCGAATATTTTAAAGCCAAACGTGACGGAAGATGGATGTCGACTTCTGAGGGCGGTTGGCCAGGCCAAACATTCAATTATACTTAACAAACCTATAAAACTTGACGAATGCTGATAAATATTCGTTCGGAGAATATGGTATGTCGCTTATTAGGACTATTCCTCATTTTCTTATTCGACTAAACTGCAAGCATTACAGAGAGCTCATTCCACAGATAAATGCATTAAATTAAATGAAACAGCTATGACGCAAATTCAATTTTATCGGAAACTTACTGTTTGAGACTTCGTGGCGATTGGACCACTTGGAGACCTGTATACATCACATTCTCGTCGACGCCTCCAACAGTAGTGCACCACTATTTCCAATGTAAAAAGGAATAATTTGTAAGACCTGTCAAATTTAGCAAACAGATAGGCCCAACACCTTATACGTGCCAGACGCTGAAGGAACGCCTCAACTTCAATTAGGCTTAAATTAGTTTAATATGAACTCACAGTTCCAAAAGAGTCAAAAGTAGCAATAACTCCATCACATAGTCCAATATATTGGGCCTCTTTTTCATCGCCAGCTCTAAATGAAAGGCTTTAAAAGTGAAAGCAACCGCAAATAGAACCGATGTAGAGAAAAAGGCCTACAATCATAGCACATAGATAACAGATTTAACTGTAATATTACAAGTACTAGTTTCAAACTGATTGGGAGTAGACAGAAAGCTGCAAAACTAGAGCGCCAAATAATGGCAGAAGCAAATCCAAATTCGGGGTCTTCAATTGTGCATCCAGTTAGCCACAACAGCTCCTGAGAACGGCATTATTTTCTATTTGTTCTGATCGGCGCGAAACTAAGGTGGCTGTAATTTTCCTTCATACGGAGTCTAGTGAGGCGGCAAGCGTTGCGGTAAACAGTATTTTTAAATTGAAAAAAAAATAGATATGTACTTACGAGATTTTAAATTTATAAAGAGAGGTAACGGTGCCACTGGATGCTCTAAAATGATGTAAGCGATAAGGTTATTCCAAGTCAGCGTCACATACACATTACACAACCCCTACTGTGCACATTTATGGTCATATAGTACTAGAATTCTAATTTGTTTTGAATGTACGTGATATGACCAAGACACCATTGAATGGGATATTGGAGTAGACACGACATTTCCACTTAGGAAATCTGGGCTCGCTCAATTTTGCATAAACGCCGGTCAATATGACGGTTCCTAGCGGGATTTACGTCACCATATGCTTTGGGGAGCTACGGGCTCAGTGCTGAAAGGCTTACGTTAGAGGTTTCGGTAGACACTGGATGACAGGCAATGCACCGCAGAGACAGCGTCGCTCCCCAGTTCCGATAATGCAATTCACCATTGCTGGGTCAGGTCTGAATTCAGGCACTAGGATTGAAAAGACTTCAGTTTGAAGAGCGAACCTAAAAAAACAAAAGAAAATTGTCATCCACAGATGTTAAAAAGTGACTTTTTCTGATAAAAAGTCACTTTTCAGCAGCACATAACCTAGATACAAAGGTATATTCCACATTGAAGAACCTTAAGTCGAATGTGCATTGTTTTGCGGAAAATGCCCGCAAATTAGATACTCACGGACTTCGAATTACGCAATTTTTAGAGAAACGTCAATAAGTCTGATTAGATCAGTCTCTAACAGACGGTTTACATACGTCTTCCGAATTCACGAATCCAGTCTAAGTTGAAATAAATCATTATTATCAACTTTCCGGTACATAGTGAAAAGTCATTTCGAGATGGCTGAATTTTAGAATAATCGCAACAAAATTATGAGGCAAAAATTGTTTTTTTTACCTGTCATTTAAATAACTGAAGCTAGGAGACGAGGAGTTACACAAAATCCTAGACAATTAACCAGATTAAATAATTAGAGGAGGAATTGTAGTAATTATCAGACTTTCGAAAAACCTCCGTCCATACATTTGGGAAGAAAAAGTAAGGCGGTCTGCACCAGGTGTCGAACCCATCTCCACGAGGTAGACACACCGGCTAGAGAGGACGAAGCCACTTGCCCTAAAGGCCTCGCCTTCTTCACTGCGGACCATTACTTCGAGGTCTGCAATAGAGCAGGGTGTGAAGCGATCCATAACACCCAGTTGGCGTCCAGCTTTAACCTCCCAGACAGAAAGGCGACCGTCATCGCTGGCAACGAAGACGTAGCCTTTGCACTCCTTAATAACCGTTATTGGACCACTGTGTACGCCTCGGGGTTGAGCTGTAGGTATGAAATTGATACTGTTACACTTACATAAACACCAGGCTTTCTCAAAAAGTTTTTTTTTGTAACCTAGTACAATGGTTGGGTAAGGTGGACAACCATATAGAGCCACGAGGTAATTGAGAATAATTAGAGAGCGAGGATAATAAGTGGGTACAGTGAGCTGAATGTTGGTCCTGGTTTCGAAGCGAATATAATGAACATAAGGATAGAGTACTAGTCATTTTAAAGTGGAGCAGTTTGAAGTACGTTACTTGTGAATACACGATAAACCATATAGAAGACTCACGTATGAATAGGTAATAAGGATTTTAGAAAAAAGTAGCAAAAGAAGCATACCAGGCCTATCGAGTTTTTTATCAAGCCTCCAGAGGTACACCTCACCACTGAGGGAGTCGGGAGAGGCAGAGGCTGAAACGAGTGTTCCGTTTTTAGCAACTGACGCCAGTTCGATCACTCCAGACACTCTGGTGTTGGCGTGGCCTGCACAGGCAAGTTCTGAGCGCGGCACAAATGGCGCAATCTTACTCACACCAAATCTGCCATTGTGGTGAGCGTAGCCGACAAAAAGACGCATATTCCATCGATCAGCTAATGTATTTTCGTCAAATAAGACGTGACGAGACTCCTTCCACGATTTTTCATTAGAATTTTGTTCAAGTGTGCTCGTCTCCTGAGTGTTGCCAATTTCCTCCCCTTCTTCTTCGCTGCTTTCGTACTCTTCCATTACCTCGTCATCATTCCGGTCAGAACTTGATGAAGCTTCATCCGACTCCTGGTTGCAATCTAAGGCAAGAAATTTACCCTTGCTTAATTAAACCGGAAAGGGATTAGCGTCGAGGCATTTCACAAAACTTAGTGCTTGCGACAAAAATAACTTTAGTCAGGAACAGTGCACAGTTTCTGTTGAACCTGCTTCGTCACTTAGCAATCTGACCTAAGAGTGAAATTAGGCAAAAAACATATGGACTGTAGGAAAGGGTAATTTACCGGAATCGCCTGATTCTGTCATCACCACTTCATTTTTTCCTGACTCTTCGGTTTCGCCAAATTCCAGCATCACCAGTTCACAACCTTCGGACACCTCCTGAAGTGCAAACTTTCTCAATCTTTTAACAGAGCGCATTGACGCTTCCCAAACCATTACTACTCCATCTGATGACGCAGAAGCAATATATTCATCCTAAAACATACGAATGGATATGGAGAGTACGTGGAAATTGCCGCATGCTCATAAAATTGTCTGAACTCTATCAATTGTATTCGCACCGATTAATGGTGAAGTACTATGCCATCAAATTTAATTGCATATTTTTCCCACTGTTTGCATTTTAGTGAACCAATGTGGGTAAAGACAGCATGCCATTTGAGTGTAAATAAAATGGTGTGCGAAATAAGTAAGAGTTGAAATGTTTAAAGTGCTGATACCAGGGTCCCCCGCTATGCGAATGCATCTCAATAAGAAAAAAAAGGAAACAAGCACGAAGCTTACCTTAAAAGCGATATTAGTAACGGGTTTCATGTGAACGCTACGATTCCACACCGGAGAAAGGCAGCTGCGTTCAGGCTCTTGACCATGCAAGAGCAGCCAGACACCAATAGCATGATCGTTTCCACCTGAAGCAACGAGTAAACGAGTGGGATCCGCCTGTCTCACTGCAAGACACGTAATCCAGTCAAGATGTGCCTGAGGCCAGGTGACAAGAGTCCTAGCCGGATTGTATTCGTCACTTTTTTCCACTCGATAAATCGCAAGTAACTGTGGGAGTAAGCATACACTAAGAGGGTTAAGAGGTTTCCAGTTTAACAGCAGAAATCGTCATAGGTACCACCGAAATTAACAACATAAAAAAAAAATACCAAAACGTAAAACCAAAACTTTGGTCACTTGCACCAAACAAATCAAGTGCGCACAGTTTTGACGCACCGACAGCATCTCTATGTAAAGAAGTAAACCCACCGTTAAACGCACTACAAGTAAATTATCACAGTTTGCGGAATAAGACAGTGATCATCCCGTGCCAGAGAATTAAAGATTAACCTTTACATCGGTAGGTAACTAGCAATGCAACAACCAGTTTTTACCCTACATGACCTCCGTCAGATTTTTGCATTTCAAAAAAGTCATTTTTAATGTAGACAAGGCAAGTGTTAAACAGGCGGGCAGTAACGCCAAAACGAACAGCAAAGAAGAACTGGCCACAGTCGCTTGCATAATGGGCTCCGCACCGCATTGCTCGAATGCAAATGAGTGCGAATTTACTTTTATAAAACACTTGCGACAGAAGCGGCCTACGTATACTGCGTGAAAGTCACCGCCTTAGTAATGTGGCGGTGCAAATGCAGTTGGCAGAAAAGTTGATTCAGTGGAAGATCTCTTGTACTTTAAGCAAAATAAAAATAAACCCAGAGACTGCAAAGAGCTGCTTTCCAGTCTTATACAGGTTAGTGGTAGACCAGATGAGCCTATATCATGGTTACGTTTGCATTTTTTTCACTAATTGCAAAATTAATAATTTTTTTATCTCATACATAACATCACTCACTCCGTCCTTGCCACCAGAAACCACAATGTTGTCATAAGAAGCCAGTGCAGAGACACCAGCACTATGAACAGAGAGTCTGAAATCACTATCAATGGAAAGAGAGGTACATCCAGTGTCACAAAGATTCGACCAATCAAAGAAATGGAAGCAGCAATCTGCGTCACCACCACCAGAAACGGCGAAACCACACATAGCGGAAATAGTAACGGCTAGTGTTCCCCCAGCTTCGCCACCTCCGGCTTCCTGGCGTCCGATCGAGTGCGACCATACGGAAAAGGGACGCTTCTCCTCCCCGAGTAGATGTCCCAATTGTAGTTTAATCTTTGAATCACCTTCTGTCGAAACTGCTGCGAACTGTGGTAAAATAATACAGCACCTTTATGTCTACTATACACAGTATATAACACAGCAGAAAACAACTAGACCGTACCGTTACATCTCCGCGGGCTGTGCCATAAACAATGAGAGCACATCCATTTATCACGCCAGAGAAGAAACAATCAATAGCCTGAACCCTAGCGCTGTTCCTTTTTGGAGGAGGACAGATTTGGACGAGATTCGGACCAAATTCAGGAATCAAGTAAGAGATCCCTCCGGTAGATGTGCCAAACGTCAGTATATTGTCTGTTAGTTTGGTTCCTACACAGACTTCAGGGGATTCTGACTCCTTTTGCACAAGAATATCTAGAAACAACAAAAGAAAAAATTAATTCAACAAGTCCTATGTTAATGCCTCAGAGAGCTAGATCTAACATGCAACAGCCAGCGAATGACATTGAAATCGAATTTTGGGTGAATTGAGATTTATGAGATGGCTAATTTTGGTACTTAATATTCAGTCTACCGAGTTTCCTTCTTATCTGTAAAACGAGCTTCACTTGAACAAAGTAAACAAAGAACATTCTAAATTGCCTGGCTTTGTGAGCTTTAGAAGATTTCAATTAACACACTTCCTGGTGCCATCAAAAAAGGTGTTTTGCAGTTCCCTCATATTTTTTAAAGTCTGTCACGAACTTTCGTTCTTAGATGAAAGCGAGTCTTAAACCTAACACAGGCAAACGGTACCAATGATAGACAATGTATAATAAAATTCGACCAACAAATGATCTAGTTGTCAGTAATTTTGGTTTATAATACAAGTGAGTGAGCAAAACTAGCGACATGGAGTAATAGAAACAGAACACACCGCATATCTGTGCACGATCAATGTCCCAAATAGCAATTGCACCGGAAACTGTCTTCGAACAACCGGTTTGTGCTAGCAGACATTCACGGCTTGCAGGCTCCTCCAGGAAGCACAGTCTGCTGAATATTTGGCGCGGAAACCCACGAGAGGCCTTTTCCAGACGCACAATACATTCAAATGAATTGGCATTAATAAGATAAACTTCGCCGGCGAAATCAACGCTTGCGATTAGCCCATGATCGGGGCCTGAGTAGGCCAATGCTGTGATGGCGGCATGACGGCCGCTAACATCAGCCCATTCTTCGTAGTAGGTCTCATCACGAACCCCTTTACATAATGTAACGGAATCGGAACCAAGAAGTAACATCTTGTCAACCTTCAAAGAAGAGGAGGCAAATAATAAGGTTTGTCAAAACACTCGCCTATAAGTGTAGTAACAGACCTCCAAATTAAAAGAAATTTAAGCGTGCAGTCATGAATATCCAAATCTGCTTTGACGACAAAGAATAATGGTGCACAAATACGCGATTACGAAGAAGCCAACCAGAGAGCAGATAGGTACAAAGTATGGACATAACTGTCCACTTTGCGACATTATTTTCAGGCATATACCACAACGCACACACACACACACCTTTCCACTGCACGACGAAGTTTTGAAGCACCACAGGGCACCGTTAAAGCATCCAACCACAATCTTGTCCTCCACAAGAACCATTGCATTTATTGGCTGATAATGGGTACTGAATGTGCGACAGGCTTTCTTGAAGGTCGACAGATCGAAACCAGAGGCGGTGTCCGCCCCACCATCCAAATCGCCACCGAGAGACGGCTGAATAGTGTAGAGGCGCACCAGTCCGTCGAGACCTGACGTGATGAGGTTCCGTCGCCGAGAGTCCCAAGCACAGGCCGTAATAGGGCGGTCGTGTTGGCCAGAGATGCGAGCCAATTTCAGACCGGTCAAACTATTCAGATCGTCCGATGACGGGATGAGTTTCCAGAGGCAAGCAGTTGCATCCGCAGAGACGGAGTACAGCAGTAGACACTTTGTGGTCAGCTCATTTGTGTCGGGAAGAATAAAGACGATATCACGAACGGCACCAGTATGCCCATATAAAGTGTTGACCACCTATAAAATGAGAAAAGCTGGTAGCGGCCACCTTGCATTTAAACTATTTTAAGACATTGCAAGCACAAAAAACGAATTTGTCAACACCGAGATTAATTAAATGAACCGAATAAGTAACAACTCACTTTCCCAGAAGAAATATCCAACAACGTGATGCTGCCGCTGTTATCACCACAAGCTACCAGCAAATCACCATCGCTGGCAAGCGCTGTAGGGAGAGTAACCGCTTCCGGTTGCCAGGCTAACTCCATACTGCGTAGGTAATGCGCACTCAAAGGATTAGTACGCATTGCAGTCCAATCATTGTTTGACAGAATTGTCCTCTTAACTTCCTCATTAATCAGCATTTTATAACCCCCAGGGAGGCTATCCAAAAGCAGCTGGCCTGTTAAATGAGGGAACCTGAAAAAAAATTTCAGTAAACAGGAAAAGAAACAAAATGGAGTGCAAATATCACTGCGTTTTACTTAATGGCGTCTCTAGCTGTGGCCAAACTTCATTTATGCAGGCACAATCAATAAAGTGTCTTCCGCAAAATTTATGGTCATGATTCGACGAGTAGCAATTGCAACAATGACACAGCGTCAACAAGGTAGTTTCAATATAAAAACTAGAGCCAGAATTGGTGTTATGAAACAATGATAACGACGCAAAATTACACTGCATTGGTGTGTAAGTGAAAAATACATTTAGCACACTTAAGGCAAACTTCAACCGTCTGTTTAGTAACTGCAGCTAGCTGAAAAAGGATAAATGTAAGTCACAGTGATAAGTACCCACTTGCTTAAGAGGTGACCAGATTGGAGGACGAATTGGCGAATCACCAGGAAATTCGTATCTTGACAATTTTCAATGATATCTGACCAGGCTGCCTCGGTGTCAGGGTCAGTGGTTCCTGTTTTTAGACGAAAAGCAATTTGGGAGTTATTTGAAATCGAACGGTAAAAATTTAATGAAAGTGAACCCAATAGTAAACGACGTCTAGCTTTGCTGAAACGAAGTAAAACGACCAAGTGTTCACATTTAACCATTCATAGCACAGAGGATGAGGCTTTTGAAAGCCTGGTAAAACTGCCATTTCGTAACCATCACCAGTAAGAAACCATGAAAAGTGTGGGACCCGTTAAATCAAATCGTAATTGAAGAAAAGATTAATCGTCTAAAAACGCTCCGACTTACGAAATCCAAGAAATTCTTCCACTAAGGCCTGGACATCGTTGTTGAGAGCTTTTTGCTGAATATACACGGGATTGCTAAGGGTGGACACGACGAAACCGAACTTCCTCGCATGAAACTGGGAAAATAAGTAAGACGCAGTAAGACCCAAGCTACATTCAATGCATTCACAGTAACTATACCTAAACAACCATGTTATCACGGTCCCAAGACAAAATGATTTTGCTGCCCAACAACGAAACAAATTAACAAAAGTCAACGTCACTATAATTAGGAGTTCTGCTAAATCAAAACGCCATACTTTTTGTATTTAATTTTAAGCAGCACCTGGTTAGCAGGTGTCGAATATTTTGCAAACATCTCGTCAATAAAATCACGACTCAAGCAAACAGAAGACAACGCTCACCGCATAGTAAACTTTGTCTCGTAAGTCGTCGTAGTGCTCATAGAGCAGCAGTCTGTATGTTTGCAGTTCTGATGGAGTGGAACTGAGCGAAATTGGCTCACTCTCAGTCTTCGCTGAGCTCTTCATGTAACCCAAACGGTGGTGCGCCGAGAACCGGTTGATTGGTCGGACGGTAGAGAAACACAAGCGTCTGACCACATTTGCAACCTCCGAGCTGCACAGCCGCAGACCCTTCGATGCGTATAGACTCGGCTCAACCTCCTCCCCCTGTTCAGTCACCGATGATGTCACGCAGCCACAGTTGCTCTCATCTACTGACTCAAATCCAGATATGAGCGGCTGCAGTTGAGAGAGAAGGACGTGCAGCGCTAGGGTGGTAAGCACGGGATAAGAGTCCAAGCTATTTTTGAAAATTCGGTCCTCATCACCGTTGATGAATGCGGCAAGCTGAGGGGGGCAGTGCTGCTGTGAAGTGGCGAGCCAAGTATTAACCATACGCTGGAGTTGAGCTGGGTACGGAGGACGGCGCGAGCATAGAAGGCAGGCGAGTATTGTTTTAACAAGGTTTTCACCACAACAGATGGAGGCTCGAGCAACGATGTGGGCAACCAGCCCCGGTAAATGATCTGGAAGGCTTTTTAAATTTAGGTCCAGCTACAAATCGATGCAAAAAATATGCAGGTGTTCAGTATTAACAATAAGTGCAATTCTTTTGAGATCGCTAGGTGGTAGTAGTAGTAGTAGTGGAGCCAAGACGGCAAGACCGCCATAGATTCAATTACATGGATTTAAAGTGCAATTTGTGCTCGCGAAAGAAATTCAATACAATTCACGGCTTGTGAAGAGAAGGTGAACAAAACTCATCAATAACCGTTCAAGGAATTAGATCGACTGCAAATGGTCAGCAATAAATTCAACATAATTTCCTACAACTGTCCGCCAACGTTGTGCGATGTTGGTTGAAGAAGTTGCGTGATTTATCTACTGTACTTCGAATTTCCGTTACTCAAATTTGTGAAAAAAACAACCATCTGAAAGGGCCTGGCCGGAGGAAGTGAGGATATTTTGTTTACGGGCGAAGAGAAATGGCCTTGCAAAAATGTTTCCGTTTGGTCAATTCAGTCAAAACGCCGAAGTGTACTTAAGTTGCTTTAGATAGCAAAATTCAGTCTAGTTGTTAACATCCAGTCTTCCAATTACCCCTTCGATAAAAATCTTCACTAAGTCACGAATCAGGTCATCACCAATGCCTAAGATCACCAAGAACGATGTTTACAGCTCAAACTAAACGCATAAATTAGAAATCGACAAAACCACTTTTAACTGTACTGAGAGGGAAGAAACGATAAAATAAACGTCTTCAACATCTTTTTCGTCGTTCAAACAGTCAGCATAAAATGACTGGAAGAAAAAATTCAAGATGAATGGTCCGGTTTTTGGATGAGGAACTTAATTGGTTGGTACAAACTACGTCTCCTGGTACTATTTTGATATAGTCGGTTTCAAATTTAGCACGAACATCTGCAGTCAACTAATAGGACGAATGTTGAATTGACTTACGTTCTCAAAGGTCGAGTATAAACGCAATTCATCACAAGCCATTTTCAAGTACAAGGGAAGTCCAGAGTCTCTTTTTCTGGCCAATTTCGACAACTAGAAAAGTTGGAGAACAACTGCAAGTTAGAGAAATTAACAGATATGGAATTCTCTGTGTTGATATGGCAACCAATAGACTTTCAAAAACTGCTAAAGAATTCCGCTTTCGTACGCATGCGCGCGCGCTTGCGTTATTACATACCAAAATGGGTAGGATACGTAGTTTATCGAAGTAATGAAAAGAATAGCATCGAAATCGAATGAAGTACCTGATTAGCGAATCCACTCTCGTTGAGTACCTTTCCATATTGGGCAAAGTAAGATCGAATGGCAGCTGACTTCTCAGTGAGCGATAATTCGCTCATTCGAAGGTAGAGGGCATCTGGACGGATCGATAAAGTACGTGCTGTCTTTGAGTCTCCGTTTAATGAGAAGACAAATTTCACATTCTACACAAGTAAATAGAAAAAAAAATTAAAGGCCCCACAAAACCACGTATTTTTAAAAGGAGCCTTAAACATTAGCTTTCAACCAGAACATTTAGAAGGGTTCCTTACCTCAGGAATTATCTCCGGAATCCAATCAAGATTATTCGGCACTAGGTGATCCACAGAATCAACGATGAAGATGTAATGGTTCAACACATACTCCCCGATTATTCTTAGCAATTTGTGGAATATCTCGATGCTTTTGCTATAAAACAAGCATTAATACCGTTAATATCCAACACCGCGCCAACATGCACAGCTTTTCAAAACTCAGCAAATGGTACAGGTAAAATACACAGTTAACAGAAAAACCATGTTCTATTCTTAATTAAATATTGGCAAGAGGCAGAAATGAATCTCAGGGAATCGTAGTTCTTCCTTGAATGGATTTTACTTCTATCAACATTTAAAACTGCATAACTTCATGTCCATCATTGCGCAGTTAAAAAGAATGCAACTAACACAAGGTCTCCATCATGAGCAACATCAATAATTCCGGAGGACTTCAACTCGTCTTCAAGTGCGTTTAGCTGTCGATCGACGTCGACGTTATTGCCACCAATAGGAGTACGCAACTCCGTGAACATTCGAACTATCCAGACGTCAAGTAGCTGTTTTAGTTGAGTCATCTGTGGAATAGCAGCCAGGAGGAGACCAGAGTGTCGTGTCGTGGAGGTGTAGGCGCCGAGAGTCAGGTGAACGAATACGCGCGAGCGGCGTCGAAATACTTCAGGGATTTGAGTCATGGTGGAGGAAGAGAGTGGCAAAGTGGGCAGCCATTCAGGATCTGATAAGGCAACTGCCACAGCCGAAATGAGCGTGGTTTTCCCGGAGCCATGTGAGCCAATCAGGCAGAGCAGACCACCATCGCGAGCTACAATGAGAGGCAAGCACAGTATTACTCTAGCTTTGACAACAGCCGCGGATAGTTTAAACCTAAAGACTAAGAACACCTTGCCTACTACGTACTACGGTCACACAGGTATATCCTGGATAACATTAGATACATTTTTTTACTATGATGTTTAGAATTAAATAAACCAACAGTTGTCCCTTTCCTATAAAACAAAAATTTAACATGTCTAAGTAAAAGGGTTCCTCAGAAATGCAAGTTTATGACCCGTTTAAGATCCATTCATACCATTTACATGTCTGCTCGGTAAAGACGATTTGCTTAAGGGGGCGTGACAGTAGTGCAGACGCCTCAGACAGTGTAAACCTCCAGGGATGATTGTCTAGTGTAAAAAGCTTTGTAGTACTTACAAACATGGCTTTCGTATTTCCTCTTTGAGCCTGTTGGTATAAGTAGTTGTGTGAAAGGAGCATTGGGGTGGTTGTTGACAGCAGCTTTCCGTGCACGTTGAACTTGAGCACCCCGCAAGGGTAAATCTATTATCAAGGCCCGAAGTACCTCCTGAAGATGTCGTGGGCTGACGGAAGCTGCAATTGCTTCTAGGTATGCAGTTGGAATCGACGAGCCATAGTGACAGATTTTGTGATTTTGAAGTTCGGGCTGAAAGAGATAAGGGATATATAGCACTAGATTATCGTAGAACTAACAAATACACGAGCATTAAACGGAGGTACTCAGTTTAGCGGCTGACCTATAAGTAACTGTTTCGGTAACTTTGGTATTAAGTTCTTGGGATTTGACACACCATCAATACAGACCACTAACAAGATGAAATAACACAGTTTGAAAGCATTACAAGTTCAGCAGATTCTTGAAATGCATTTTTAAAGGAACATGCCTTCGAGAATAGGCAGCCAGCCTACCTTAACCAACTTTCTTTGTAGGTTTGATGGAGGGTGATAAAAAATAACAACCACAATATCATTTTCCTGTTAGGGTTTGTGAAAAGTTCGGAGCAAATCATTCATACCGCTGTAATCCCGCATTACTGTGGCCACCATACGTGTCACATAAACAAGGGACCTCAGATTCATGCGAAAATTGCAATTACGACGTATTGACGCCATAATGGTGACAGAAATATATAGGAGTCAGTTGCTCGACAATGAAGCCGTTAATATCCGTCCTTCAAGGCGCTTTTGAAGTGAATAAATTAGCAGAAATACAAGAAGTAAAACTATCGTCAAAACCCCACAACGACCGCAAGCGCTTATTATGCCAAGTGGGCAGTTGCATTACAAGGTCAACGAAAACGATTGCGCTATATTGCAAAATCGGGTTGCGTGCAACCCACGCAATATGCTGTTGGCAGTAGGCGACAGGAGGCAAGATAAATCGGTGTTTCCCAAGGTTCCAGCAACGAATAAATTCTTTCAGTTAGGTATTAAGGATATTCACAGCCAAGTAAGTCGGAAATAATTTATGCTGATGGCTGGGCTAATGTGAATATGAAGATAAACGAATAACGACAAATGTAATTCATGGACTTGCAGAACCAAAGGCGCTTTAGCTGCGTTTACGTGGCTCAAAGCCAGGCTAAAATCCAGAAGCCAGAAGATGATGTGTCTAGAAGTCAATTCACATAGTATGCTGACGTTGGAAACATACACACAGAGTACTGGCTGCACGAGTTCAGGGTGTGAAATGACTTTGTAAAACCTGGTTAAACAGGAATCCTGCACACGCATTTTAAATTTAAGGTAACACAGACTTAATCGTGCAAGCAGAACCACAGTCCACATTAATGGACTTCAGGAACTTAAATCAACAATCAATCTGATTGCATCAACCTTTTCGGTGAAAAGGCTTGAAGGGAAGCATACACGAAATATTTATTTAAAACGGCTGCTGGATTTGGCTTTAGGGCTACCAAAGGGATGAAATGACTTACCTGAACCGGGGGATTAGACCTAACGTTATCGGAGATCAGAAGGTAAAGACTTTTGAATATAGCCTCACTCAGGACTGACAAGTCGCCCATCATTGGCGTCGAGCTGACAATTCCAGCGAAAGTAGCGGGGTACCTAGATTCACGATTTAGAACAGAATGAATTGCACGCAAACAAAGTTTTAGGAAAAGGACCTTTTAGATGTAACTTACGCATTTAATTGAATGAGTCCATTTTCCTTCAAGAAAGCCTTGAACTCTTTTAATCTCCCCTGTTTACATCGTGAAGATTCAACAAAATTCGCTCTAAGGTCCCGAGACACTCCCCTAAAATAACGTGGTGATACACTGTGTAAAGACTTACAACTACGTATCAGCATGGCTATCTCAGGAATCAATATATAACATCCGTGCAAAGGGTAACACAACACACACGAGAAGGAATTAGTATGGAAAAGACTGACTCCCCATAAATTAAATTCATGATCTCCATTCCAAAAATAAATAATGCAATTTTGACGCAGTAATTTTGACATACTTACTCTAAACAGCTCGAGTCTCTGATAAAACAGAGTAGGTTCTTTCTTTTGTTGTAGTTCAGGTGGTAAAAGAGACGAACTTCCATTTCAGTGACGGACATGCCCTCCACGTATATTTTCATTACTTGGTCTAACAGCTTAGGAGGAAGTGTCTGGACCATTTCTTTGGGAGGTGTCCAACCGTATCTAAATGAAGAGGATCACATCAGCATGGAACATCAACGTTCACCCCAATTAGGGCGCATATCCACTCAAACTGGATGTTTAAAATTTTGTTACACTATTTGTTCACCAAAACAGCACTAGTTAAGGTATAGAAAGAGCTTATAAGAAGGAACGCTGGTTTTACTTGGAGAAAAAACTAATGCGATAAGTGAAAAATAACTGGCGTGGTTTGTTGGCAAGAAATTAAATAAAAAAGACTAGAGTACCTTTCGCCAAGGAGAAGAATTAGATAGTCTGAGGTGACTACTTTCTCAAGGCACACGCGTATGCACTCAGACGACTGCGAATAGGTCTCTGGAACGCCCCAACGCAGATCAATTTCGTTAAGAATCACTGGATAGTCGAGGTGGGAGAGCTGCTTACGAAGAGCGGGAAAAACAAGACCCGAAATGAGATCTCGCTCCCCAAACATATCCCGGAACGTAGAGGAAACAAACACTTGCACGGCTGCTGCTCTTCCACCAGTTGTGAAGAACGCCGGTAACTCGATGGTTGTCTGGCTGGTATTAGAAACGAGGGTGGTCGGGTGACGGCCAGTAGACTTGCATGTAAGGTTCAGTTGACGGTCAACTGCCTCTATCTGTTTCACCAAAGATTGGCTTCCCACCTGTGCTACGAAATGAAGAATCGAATCCGAGTAGCCCTGTAGCACCATCCACCCGTCTTCTGAACACGAATTTTGGCAGCTGAAATATTTTGACAAGTTTAATTAAACATAGATTTGGTTGACCGCATAACTTTACACAAGTGCCAAAGCGTACACAAGTCAACATTATGTTTGAGTGGAGAACCAAAGGCTTCCAGTTTCGGGTCCAATGAGCGATGAGCTCACCAAATCAATATCTACCAAAAGAATTGCGAACGATCCATCACACGACGGTGGGTACTCTACTTTGGCATCCAAGTTGTTTCTCTACCAGTATTCACGCATACGTGACAGTTCACTCGTAGCAAGCGTTTATTTTCCTTTACGTCTTTTGCAATCAAATGCACGGTTAGCCTGCTTGCCACACATGAATGATGCGAAAGGTATGAATGATTTGGTCCATCCAAATACTGCATGAACTTTGTTTTAACAGCCTTGACGCCGAGAATACAGAAGGAAGAGGAGCAGGACACATACTTTACAACACTGTTGATTGGTCCGACGTGGTGGGTGTAACGATTGCGCCAGTTCGTATGATCGGCCTCTAGGTCACCCAGAACCAACATTGTGGAGTACTACAATGAAAAAAAACCAGTGATTTGAGGAAAAAACAGGAACACCACAAAGCGGTAACCTACCTTCTTTTTAGTCGAAAGAATCGCTCCGATCACTTCATCCTTTGTGATAGGTTTGGCCTTTTAATAATTGACAAGAAAAGTAGGTAAGAAAGAGTAGGGTTAAGAGACCAATAGTAAGTGCTATTTCGACACATACATTTGTGTGTGTTGGTTCTAAAGCAGGTATTTGGTCGTGAATGTCTCCGCCCTGAAACAGAAGAGTGAAATTTAAATTGCATGAATGAGCCCTCCCGTAACAACTTAAGAAAGCGATAATTAATGTCTCTTCACACTAGCATGACCCACGAGGTCACATTGTCGTTAAAACTAGAACCACTAAACCCGCAATAGAACTCCACCGTTTCAAATGGCGATATTTCCATTTAAGAGGCGTTTCACACTGACATTTGAAACCGAAAACTACCACACACTTCTAAGATTGCAAGTGGCAGAGCATTATTAATCAAGGCAGTTTACACTACTCAAGTTTTCACATCCAACCAGGCCTACGCAAAACGAACACTTATAAAAGAACATGAAAAGAAGAAAACGTACTTCAAGAATGCGAGAAACAATCTCGACAGCCTTGAGAATGGCACCTTTCCCAGGC